AACAGTCACCTTTGGATGGCATCTACAAGCCCATCTCCGACAAATCTCCATCATTCCTCCAAACGGAATCTATAAGCCCATTCACAATTCATCTTCGAGTGCAAACTTCCGGACACTCTAGTGTTCAATCATCTTCCACCTTCAAGTCACGAATGGAGGATCTGTCAATCTAACTCTTCAGGTTTAAGAAGATTGAACAGGGGCAGCTGTTGTACCCCAAAATTTGCCCTCTCATTTCTCAAGACATTTCTCACAAAGATCTGCGAAAGCTCAAGCTTGCACCAATATTGATTAGGTCAAGTCATCTCCTCAACACTAATACCTTAAGATTAGGGTTTGAATTTGCATAAGGACAATTGGAATTCTAATACTCCTAGTGACGTTCTTGGATCATTATGGACCTTCAAGAATGATCATGTCAAGTTTCAAGTCTTCTCAGTCAATTGACCAAGAGACCAAAAATCAGTTGTACTGATGAAAAAGTCAATTGTAGCACCAAAAGTCAACCTTTGACTTTTTGGTCAACATTAAGTCTCAAAGATCAAAATTCATCAAGATATTCAAAAATATGAAACTTGATTATCAAGAAATTAAGAAAGTCAAAAGTCAATGTGAAAATTCAAACTCTTCAAGACTTAGAAATTTTTCTAAGTGTTTTTTATACATGATAATTTCATTTCTTCATGCCAACTTTTCACCATGATGCAAGATGATTCAAGGAAAATTTCCAACATGAAATTTGTAGATCTCAATGAGATCTAAAACTTTGTAGGGCAGGACTTTTTCTAGAAATGCTTGGATTTTAAGTTTTAAATTCATGAATTCATGGTATTTTTGAATAAACACTTAGAGAAATTTTTAGCAGTTTTGGTCAGGATTTTATCCCAACTTCTTGGCATTTTTTTACATAGTTACAAGATGATTTTGTCAAAATGGCCAACATGAAAGTTATAGAGGGTGTTTCAAGCTTTCCAAAACATCAAAGAGCATGAATTTATCATATTTGAGCTAGGAGATTCAAGGATCTGAAGTTGGACATTCATTCTTGATTTACAAGGCAGATTTGTGATGAACAAGGAACCAAAATCTTAGCCATGCTGCATAATCTTCACTTTGCAGGTCTTTTGACTTGTAAATTTATCCATAATCAGATGTTTACACAATTGATTGAACTATTATCCAAGTGATTCAAGTATTGTCCACTGCATCTTTCCATTTTTGGCACAAAGGCACCATTGTCATTCTTGCAAAGTTCACTTTAATCATAAAGTCAATTTATTGAGCATCTAACTTGTTGTTCTAATCACACTCAACTTATACAAGTCAGAAAAATATGTTTAAACTGATCAACCACTTTAGATAGCTTGGTACAAGCATTAGAAACATGTTTTTCATGCTTGCTTCAAAAACAAGCAAGATAGCCATAACATGGATTCAAAATCTGAGTTGTTTGAAGTCTCAAACCTTCTCTATAAATAGAGAGGCCAATTGCAAGATAAAGGTGAGAAAAAAGAAGGGGAAACTAACACTCAAAATCATTTTTGCTGTAAAAAACCAGAATTGCCCATAAAACCTCCATTTTTGAGCTTTGAAGTCCAAATCTTTGAATCTCATACCTTGCAAGTTTTCTCCAAACACTCCACATACATCATATAGAAGTTGTTCAAAACACAAAAACAACTTATGTAACATCACTATAATCACTTCCCAAGCTCAACAACAACCCATATAGCACCTGAAACTCAAAGCACAAATTTCAGTTTCAAGGTAAGTTTTCTTGACTTTGAACTCTTCATACAAGCATCATTAATGGTTAATTTGTGAAGATAAAATGTAGATATCATTGCCTTGAAGCTAACCATATGCTTGATTTTCATTTTCACTAACCATGTGTTGAGAATTAACTTTTACATGTAGCAAAACAGTGATAAAAGCAAAAAATAGCAGTTATGCATCGACAGGAAATGCTATGAGTCAACACATATTATGTTCAAAAAAGGTTATGAGTCGACACGAAACACGTATGCATCGATACAAAATGATTATGAGTCGACACGAAACCAATATACGTCAACACATACTGAGTTGTTTTGACTTTCAGGAGCATATAATATACATGAGCCAATACATGAGCCGACACATGAGCCAATACGAAACCTGCATGAGTCAATACATGAGCCAATACATAAGCTCATGTGTCAGCTCATAAAACTTTTTTTAATCTTTTTTTTTTAATTTTATTTTTACTTTTTTTATTATTATTATTTTCATATAAAAAATTCCAAAAAATATTTTTTTTATTATTTGCATTTTATATATTTTATTCTTTTAAAAACAAAAGACAAAAAAAATATTTTTCTTATAAAAACTTAATTTTTTTTCTTATTAATTTAATAATTAGATTTAGGTTTAGTTATTATCTTTTTAATTAAAATTAACTTAGAATTTATATTTTCTTTTAATTAATTAATTTCCATATTATTTTTATTAAACTTAAAACTTTTTCTAAAAAACCCTAAAAAATGCTTTCTAACTTAATTTCTTTTCTTAATTAATTTAGGTTTAATTTTTTTAATTTAATTAATTATTTTTTTTAGTTAATTAGGTTAAAACCAAGACTCTTTTCTAAAAATCAAACAAACAAAAATTATTTATTTTTCTATTTTACATTTGTGTATTATTTTTAATTCTTGTACATTATTCAATATGATTGTAATAGATAATTAGGTTTAATTTTCTTGCAAATTCCCATTTATAAATTTGTATACCCCATGCCCTAATGATTGTAATAGCGTAGAATATTTACTTTCCGCAATTTATCGCTTTCATATAAATGCTAGTAAATAGGGTTTGTATGGGAAGATAAAATCAACAAGTAGATAACCCTAATCAAAGATTAAATGCATGCAAATCAAACACACTATTCACACATGCACCCCTAAGGTTAACTCCATTTGTTGCCTAAAAAATATTCATGTCCCTCGAACGTGGGATACTTTAGCAATGACCCTCGAATACAAGATCATAGTCCCTCGATGACCCTTGAATGTTGCCTTCGTAAACGATCTTAGTCCCTTACAACAAATTACGAAGGTATCCTACAATGTTGCCTTCTATGACTATACGACGACTCATGCCCGTCCCTTTTACATCCAAAGATAAGGCTTCTTACCAATCAATGGTAAGATGACAATATCAAAAGAAATGAGAGAAATGAACAAAAGACTTTTGAGTAGGTAGAAACGTTCTTAGTTGCTTGCTCACTTTCAAAACAAATACACACCAAACACTTTCAAAACAAACACCAAACACTTTCAAAACGTGAAATATTTTCAAAAGTCCAACACTTTGTATACGTTATTACAAAATGAGAACTATTACAAAGTTTGCCTAAACGAATGGGTCTTTTCAAAAATACTTTCAAAACATACCACAAAGCACATTTTCAAACAAAACATATTTTCAAACAAAAGCAAGTGATCTAGCAAACAACTAAAAGCCCATAGATAACTATGGATGAAAATGGTGTTAATACCTTCCCTTTTCATAATCTACTCCCTGAACTTAAGAAAATATCTCGAAATGTCTTTTCTGTTCTTTTCAGTATTTCCTTTTGGATAAAAGAAAAGTCGGTGACGACTTTTGCTATCCGCACAATTACAATCAAACGCAAAACAACCAAGTCAATTCTCTCACCGCGTTACAATTTAATATTAAAAACTTTAATTTTTTAGAAGAAAAAAAATTATTTGAAATTAACATGTCATCATCGTCAAACGTCGAGCTTTATCACACATTTAGATTTGGTTGACCTTCTACCAGATAAATTTTTTCAGATTTGTTTGACCTTCTACCAGATAAATTTTTTCTTAGACTTTTAACCCATTTTTAAATTGCATCATAACTTTACAAATCTCACTTTTTTTTTTACTCTTCGAGTTTTTGTTAACTTAGAAAACATTTCTCTTCAAAAGAATCACCACATAGTTTTGTAACTTTCCGAAAAAATTTCTTCATAAAAATATTTCGAGTACTTTAAATCATATTTGAGAGTGTATACATAATAATGTAGAGTATATCTAGATTGATTTATCTTTAAAAAAAATTTATAGACAACAATAACATAATATTTTTCATAAAAAGTTATATTTAAATACAAAATTTAAAAAAGAATAGACACATGTAGTACACATGTATGAAGTATGAACTCCATATATTGACTTCGTCTTCCATCATTCATTTTTTCATCTTCTAGTTGCTTGGAAGCACAAGCATGACCATGACCATGACCACGACGAACAAAGCAAAGAACCCATATGTCACAACAACCTTATATTTAATGCTCATTAGCCGTCTGAAAACGACCCTTTTAACACCTTGTCCTTTCTATATTCAACCCCATTTTTCACACTTGTTCTTCAAATCTTCTTGGTCAATATCAACAATAAGAAGAAAATACAAAGTGGGTCGGTGTTATTCTTCGTTATTTCTGTTTCATTCTATGTAAAGTTCTCACCTTTAATCTTCAACTATGTTGGGTCTAACCTGAAAGAAAAAGTCTAGTTTTTTTTCTTTCTATTTTGCAGGTTTATTTCACTATCCTTCATTTGTTTTACTTTGATTGTTTCTAGTTTTCCAAATTGAAGACAAAAGATATAAACTTTCTCAAATTCAAATAGACCCATTAAGGTATTAGTTCTTTTCTTGTTTCTGTATTAATTTCTTGTTAGCACTTTTCTCCATCACCAGCAGCAGCACTGAGACCTCTGGAAAAAAGTGTGTCGTGTCTGACATCCATACCAGAACTTGTGATTACTTTAATTTATTATTTTTTTTCAAATTATTACCAGAGTCTTCGTGTATCGTGTTTTCGGTGTGTGTTTCATAGCTCTAGTTATAGGTTATTGTTCACTTGATCATATTTTCTTCTTTAATTGATGAATGGTTTTTGTTTGTTTTTATGTGAACAAATGAAGTTTTTGTGAATAATAAGGAAAAACATGGAAAAGGGGGATTTTTCTGAGATGCTGTCAAGGATGAAGGTTTTGGTTGATGAGGTTGTTAATAAGAAATCTGAAATTGAGGTAGAGGCTTTTTCTGAGTTTGGAAACTTGGTTGAGAAATTGCTACCAATCTTGAATGAATTGAGTGATAAAAGTATTGTCTTGGACAAGCTTTCGATACGAAAATCGTTGGAATCTCTCGAGAATGAGTTACGTCGTGCTAGAATTTTAACGAAAAGCTTGAATTTGAGACATCCGGTTAAGCAAATTGAGGATATGACGCATGATATCGGCCGGTCGTTAGGAGTTTTGCTTGTTGCGAGTCTTGAAGTGTCTATTGATTTTAGAGAACAGATTGGTGTATTGCAAAGACAGATGATGAATGCAAGATTTGATGGTGTTTCGAGTATGACTTCGAGTCCAAAATCGGAAATTTTCGCGAATGAAACAAAGACGATTGGGGAAATAGAAGAGGAAATAATTGATGTGTCTATTGGTGATGTGATTTTGCAACTTAAGAATGGCAATGATGAAGAATTTGCGGTTTCACTTCTGAGACTAAAGGAGTTCATGAGAAGTGAGAAATTGGACGGCGGGTTGATTAACGAGGAAGCAACTATTTCCATTCTTTTCAATCGTCTAAGTTCGTGTAAGGCGGATAATAGGCTATCCATAATTCAATTGCTAAGACGTATTGCTTTCGGAAATGATGAGAAAAAGGTGAAATCTTGAAACCAATTTGATTTTTATTATAGTTTTGTAAATATTGGTTTAAAATTATTATACCAATTGGTCCCGTTTGGATATACAACTTAACTAAACGCTTATATCATAAGTTCTTATCATGTAAGTGCTTTTACAAAAGCGGTTTTAAACAGCGTCACAACTCGCAAGTGCTTATAAAGTGGTACAATGCAGGAGAAGATGGTCGAGGTTGAGTTTTTATCGACAGTGGTGAAGTCTCTTACGAGGGATTCAGAAGAGAGGAGGGAAGCAGTGGGATTGTTGCTAGACCTCTCTAACGTTCAAGCCGTTCGAAGACGGATTGGAAGAATTCAAGGGTGTATCGTTATGTTGGTTGCCATTCTTAACGGCGATGACTCAGTTGCTTCACACGATGCCGGAAAGTTGTTGGATATTTTGTCCAGTAATAATCAAAATGCACTTCATATGGCTGAGGCCGGTTACTTTAGGCCGCTAGTTCAGTATTTGAAGGAAGGTAACGCCGGAATTTCCTGAACCGATAAGTTCAAATTTATAGAAATTTTCAAACAACGATCATAACTCTCTTAAGTTTTTCGACATTCTGTTTACTTGAAAACTTCAAATTATATTATTGCAGGCTCCGACATGAACAAGATCCTAATGGCAACAGCACTTTCTAGGTTGGAACTTACCGATCACAGCAAACTTACCCTCGGAGAAGACGGAGCAATCGAGCCACTTGTCAAAATGTTCGTCACTGGGAAACTTGAATCCAAGTTATCATCTCTAAACGCGCTACAAAATCTATCTAGCTTAAACGAAAACGTGCAACGTTTAATTCAATCAGGAATTACGGGATCTTTACTACAACTTCTTTTCTCGGTAACATCTGTGCTCATGACTCTAAGAGAGCCAGCATCAGCCATTCTTGCAAGAATTGCTCAGTCAGAATCCATTCTCGTCAACGAAGATGTTGCTCAACAGATGCTTTCGCTTTTGAATCTTTCGAGCCCGATAATTCAAAGTCATCTATTAGAAGCTCTAAATAGTATGTCTTCTCATCTCGGTGCATCCAAAGTGAGACGGAAAATGAAAGAAAAAGGTGCACTTCAACTACTCTTACCCTTTCTTAAAGAAAGTAACACCAAAATCAGGTGCAAGGTTTTGAATTTGTTATACACTCTCTCTAAAGATATAACCGATGAACTAACCGAATATCTTGACGAAACTCATATTTTAAACATTGTTAATATTATCTCAACGTCCACGTCAGAGAGTGAAAAAGCGGCTGCGGTTGGCATTCTGAGTAATCTTCCTGCTAGCGATAAAAAAGTAACCGATATTCTAAAGAGGGCAAATTTGCTACCGATTTTGATATCAATTTTGTATTCAAACAATGCAAGTAAATCACCCTCAACAAATAGCTTAATCGAGAGTGCTTCCGGTGTTATAAACCGCTTCACGAATTCATCCGACAAGAAACTACAACTCGTGTCAGTACAACACGGGATAATTCCTTTGCTCGTAAAATTACTCTCAACAGGTTCACCGATCACAAAATCAAGGGCTGCAAACTCCTTAACTCAACTATCACAAAACTCTCTTTCTCTCAGGAAATCTAGAAAATCAAGATGGTTATGTGTTCAGCCTTCAGCAAATGCATATTGTGAAGTTCATGATGGATATTGCTTTGTCAATAGCACATTTTGTTTGGTAAAAGCGGGCGCGGTTTCTCGACTTATCGAAATATTGGAAGATAAAGAGAAGGAAGTAGTTGAAGCTTCTCTTGTTGCACTTTCAACTCTTTTGCAAGATGAAATATGGGAAAATGGTGTAAATTCCATTGCCAAATTATCAGGTGTGCAAGCTATAATAAAAAGTTTAGAAGTTGGTGATGCAAAGGTTCAAGAAAAAGCATTATGGATGTTGGAGAGAATATTTAAGATTGAAGAACATAGAGTGAAATATGGAGAATCTGCTCAAGTGGTGCTTATTGATTTGGCACAAAAAAGTGATTCTAGAATGAAGTCCACAGTTGCAAAAGTATTAGCTGAGCTAGAACTCTTGCAAGATCAATCAAGTTACTTTTGAAACAAGGCTTTCATTATGAGAAATACTATTATGGCAGTGATTTTTTGTTTTGCAATCCATTCATTTATATTTTTTTGGTGTACATGCTTGTATTTTAGATTGTTTGAAATGAACCACATAAAGCTATATAAGTATATGTAATGATTTATTAGAAATGAAAGATTGTAAAATAAACTCAGGTCAAGTATATAAGTATATCATAGTATTGGGTATTGGATGGACTAGAAAGACTTGCTTATAGCTTTCATAAAACTTGGGAGATTTGCCCCAAGATTCTGTCCCTCAGAGATTTTCAACCGTAAATTCATTTTTAAGTTTTTTTGTGAGACTTATTAAACTACGTCAGCTTGAAACAATTCAATTAGTTTTTCACTTCAATGGTGCAACTCTAAAGAACTTATATTGAGTCTCACAACTTTACTTTATATATTAATATTTTATTCATATTAAATTTTATATCATTTAAAATAATAATTTTAATTATTTAAATTAAAATTGATATAAAATAAATAAAATTCAAATTAAATTTATAATTTAAAATGATAATTAAAATTAATTTCAAATAAATGGCATATAATTAAAAATAATAAAAATAAATAACATCACATAAATTAGTCAAACTTAAATTTCATCATATTCATATCTAAAACGTTCCCAAATATAGAATAAAATGAACAGTTTTATTATTAACTTATTAGACCATCTCCAATAATGCTACTCATTTTTTTATTCTTTATGGGACCTATTAAATCATAATATTTTGAAGCAATTCATCTAATTTTTACTCCATTAATGCAATTCCAAAAAACTCATTTTCGACCCCATAATTTTAACTCATATAACTATCCATTATTAAAAAGGATTATTTTATTGTTACTTTTTATCAAAACTATGTTGCATCCTAATGCAACTGTAGCGTCAGCTGGAGAAAGAACTTCCATCTCCGATAGTGAAAAGTGGCTTTTGCTATAACAATACTTCAACGAATTGTCGTTGGAGTTACTCTTAATGTGTTCAACAATTGGTGTATTATGATAGCGTGGACATGGGTCCATTGTCACACACACACACAAAGAGAGATTTGTTAAAATATTAGATTAGATTAGATTTGTACAATTCAATAATATAAATCCTTATTTTCTTTATTATTCCCTTTTTCTCTCCTCACTATAGTGCCTCACGCACTAACAAATTGGTATCCAGAGCTTCCGGTTAGTGTTTTTATCGAGTTTTCAAGAATTTCACGTCAGAGATCGTGTTTCTAGGGAAAATGAATCAACCGCTACGAAGATGGCTAGTGATAAGGGTATTCTGAATTCTCTTCTAATGCTTGACGACAAGAATTAGATCTGATGGAAAAAACAGATGCAATCCTTGTTTGGCTTTCATGAAACCCTAGAAGTGGTTACCGACAATGTTTCTATGTTGGCTGCAAATGCAACCGACGAACAGAAAAAAGCCCACAACAAAGTCAAAAATAAAGATTGTAAGGTTGTTTATTACATTCAGACGACGATCGATGCTGTTAATTTCGACAGAATCTCTCATGCTGAAATGACGAAGGAGGCATGGGATATTCTGGTGAAGTATTACGAAGGAGGTGAGAAAGTCAAGGTTGTCAAGTTATAAATCTTGCATCAATAATATGAGTTGTTGTCAATGAGAGAAGATGAAAAAGTTACAGAATATGTGTCGAAGGTTCAAAAACTCGTCCATCTCATGAAGGGTTGTGGTGAAACCATAACTGATAAGATGATAGTTGAGAAGGTAATTAGAATGTTGACCTCTCATTTTGATCACGTTATCGTAGCTATTCAAGAATCTAACAATCTTGAAATCACTAAAGTGGAATATTTGGTTGGTTCGTTGAAGGCGTGTGAGATGAAGATTATCGAAAGGAAATGAGTGCAAGACTCGATACAAGCTCTGCAAGCTCAGTCATGGAAAAAGGATGGTGGTTCCAACAAATTCAAAGGCAAGTTCGATAAGATTCAGGGCAAGAAGTCTTGGTCGAAACCTCAGAAACATCAGGTCGAAAATGGAGCTTTTGAATCCTCGAAAGGAGGAAGAGAAAATTATCGAAAGGGCAAAGAAGATAAAAAAAAGTATGCAGTGCTATAACTGTGAAAAGTGGGGTCACGTAGCAAAGAATTATTGATATAGAAAAGACAAGGGATCAACAAGCAAGGACAAAGGAGCGAACCTTGCACGCCAGAATTCAAATGATTCTGAAGGTGGTATGGTGGTTATGGCTGCAGTTGTAGATAACCATGTCGAATCCAAAATCTGGTTTCTTGACTCAGGCTGCTCGAACCACATGACTGGTCGAAAGGAGTGGTTGGCAGATTTTGACGAATCGAAGAAGAGCAAGGTAAAATTTACTGATAATAGTTCGTTGCAAGAAGAAGATACTGGAAATATAGTCTTTCAAATGAGTAATAGAGGGAAAGCTATGATCAAAGATGTGCTTTATGTACCTAGAAAAAAATGCAACTTACTAAGTGTTGGACAACTAGTCGAAAAATGTTTCTCAGTTGTTATGAAAGATAGAGTTTTGAAATTGTTTTACACCAAGAACAATTTAGTCTTAAAATATTTGTTGTCGAAGAACATGACATTTAAGACTATGATTAGTTCGACTGAAATTCAATATTTGAAAATTGTTGTTGACCACAAGGATAGTTGGTTGTGGCATTTGAGGTTTGAACATTTGAATTTTCGATCACTCAATCAATTAATTACTCAAGATATGGTTACCGGAATTCCAAGTCTTGAGATGCCTGAAAAACTTTATGAAGATTGTTTAGTAGGAAAGCAATCCAGAAATTCTTTAATTTCGACTATGCCAATGAGATCATCTTGCATACTCGAAGTGGTACATTCATATGTACGCGGTCCATTCGAAGAACATACAATTGATGGAAACATATATTTTGTTTCGTTTGTCGATGAGTTTAGTCGAAAATTATGGATCTATGTGATCAAACGAAAGGACAAAGTATTCGAAATCTTTAAGAGATTCAAGATACTTGTCGAAAACCAGAGTCAGAAGAAGATCAAAGTTCTGCGAATAGATGGAGATGGTGAATACTCATCCAAGATGTTTGAAGATTTTTGTGCGGAATATGGTGTTGATCATGAGGTAGTTGCTCCTTATACACCCCAATATAATGGAATTGCTGAAAGAAGAAACAAAACCATATTAGTTATGGCGAGATGCATGCTAAAGCAAAAGAATTTTCCAAAGTCTTTCTGGGGAGAATGTGTTTTGACTGTAGTTTATATTTTGAATAGGTGTTCTACCAAGATATTGAAGAACATAGTTCTTGAAGAAGTATGGAGTGGAAAGCGAACATCGGTGAGTCATTTGAAGGTGTTTGGCTCTATGTGTTACAAGCATGTTCCTTATGCAAGAAGAAGGAAGCTTGATGACAAGAGTGAACCTATGATTCTGGTAGGATATCAGAAAACTGATGCATACAGACTATTCAATCTAGTTAATGAGAAGATTGTGTTGAGTCGAGATATGTGATTAATGAAAATTCTGTCTGGGATTGAAACTCTAGCAATTCAATTAACAAGCCATTGGTGAGTTCTGATGAAGAAACTGATGAAGTAGAGGTCAAAGGAATTATTGAGAATCCAGTCAAAGTCGAAGAAGAAGCAATTACTTACATTCTCGACACAGTCGAAGTCGAAGAGGTTGTGGCTGAAACAAGCCAAAGACCTCAAAGAAATAGAGTTCTTCCAACAAGACTTCATGATTATAAAGTGGTGGGTGATGATGAAGTCACACCAGATGAAGAATTAGTTTATTTTTCTTTACTTGGAGGTGTTGAACCAATTAACTATATAGAAGTTTTGAAGACTAAACAATGAAAGTTAGCTATGGTTGAAGAGTTACAGGCAATCGAAAGAAACAACACATAGGAGTTAGTCGAATTGCCAGCACATACAAAAACTATCGAAATAAAGTGGGTATTCAAGTTGAAACATAATATTGATAGCTCGATAGCAAGACATAAATCAAGATTAGTAGCTCGAGGGTTTCTTCAAAGAGAAGGACTCAACTACTCTGAAGTATTTGCTCCAGTAGCAAGATTGGAGATTGTTCGACTAGTGGTAGCATTGACATGCAATCAAGGCTGGTCGACATTTCATTTAGATGTGAAATCAGCATTTCTGAATGGTCCTTTAGACGAAGAGGTCTATGTAACACAACCTGAAGGGTTTGTGATTCGGAAGGAAGCGAGTAAAGTATATAAGTTGCACAAAGCGCTCCATGGCCTCAAGCAGACACCTAGGACATGGAACAAGAAGATCAACTCATACTTAGTCGAATTGAGATTTGTCAAATGCAAATCTAAGTATGGTGTCTATGTTCAGGTTGTAGCACAAGATATAACAATCATATACTTATATGTCGATGACTTGCTAGTAACTGGAAATAGCTTGGAGAACTTGTCGAAGTTCAAAGAGCTGGTGATGAAGGAATTTGAAATGTCTGATCTGAGAAATTTGTCTTATTTCTTAGGTATGGAATTTCAAATGTCGAAGCAAGGTATGGTGGGAATAGTTCAGATTGACTATTTTTGAGGATGTTCGACAACTTGAATTATGGGAGTGTGTTGAAATATTAAATTAGATTTGTTAAAATACTAGATTAGATTTGATTTTATTAGATTTAATATTTAAATATAATCCAAGTTGTGTAGACTCAAGCCCAATTAGGGTTGTATATAAATAATCCTAGTCTGTATAATTATTTGTACAATTCAATAATATAAATCCTTATTTTCTTTATTATTCCCTTTTTCTCTCTTCACTAAAGTGTCCCACGCACTAACACACACAGAGAGAGAGAGAGAGAGAGAGTCGTTGCGATAAGATTACAATTGTCATAAGTTTAATAAGAAAATAATTATAGTTGCACACCGACGAATACTAGAGAAATTTGATGGAGAATTCGTAAGAATCAAAAGACGGTTTGCACTAATGACACCATTATTTCGCACCGGAGTAAAAATAGACGAAAGATTGATGACGACCACCGTGGTGAAGCTTCTCGTAAGGTGATTATGAATTTCTACAAATATTCAAGTTACTATTTAAATGAGGTGGAACTTTACAAGTGTGTATAAAGAATACCTGAGCGTGACTCAAAGTCACACTTATATAAAGGAGAGTATTATAATTATTTTTCGTTTATCTAATGTGGAGTGCAGACAATCGTTGAATGTAAAATCAACAATTATGACGAAAATAGAAGTTATGCTTTTATGCAGTGTACAAGAACAAAATATTCTTGATCAATTGAATCAGTGTTAATAGATTTTTGGTCATCACAGAACAATGTTCAAATATTAAAGTTAATAGAATTTTACCCTATCAAATAAACGAGTTTTAATTTACCTTCCCATTCAAAAATTTATTTTGTTTAGACCGGAGAAGGAATTGACACATGCCAAATACATACGTATTATGAAATGTGACATTTTTTTTATTTTTCATATATTTTAGTTGACACATAAATTAATTGATAGTACCACATTAGTAAAAATGATGCCACATCATTTTTCATATATTTTAGGTGACACATGGATTAAGCCATTAAAAAAATTAAAGATTTCAAAAAATTAATAAATAATAAAATTAAACTTTTATGTTTAGTTTTTACCCTAGGCCCAATTTGGTGAAAACAGCGCTAGACAAAACGGTGCCGTTTAAGTTAGGTTTTTTTTCTTCAAATAAACACAGAAAACCACAACAAACAGAAATACTACTCACTCTAAGCAGCCATAGCAGAGCCACGCTTCTCCGCCGCACCCTAACCGCCGTCCGTTGCGCCCTCCCTCCGGTATCCGTTGCTCCTTTCCTCCGGCAGCCGTTGCTCCTTTCCTCCGGCAGCCGTTGCTCCTTTCCTCCGGCAGCCGTCGCTCCTTTCTTCCGGCAGCCGTTGCATCATCTTACCTCCGTCACATTCGGTTCTACCGATTTTATTAGTTCACTTCTGTTGTTCTCAAAATGTTGCGTAGAAACGTTCGTTTGAGGAGAGAGTATTTGTATCGAAAAAGCTTAGAAGGAAACGAACGTGCGCTTTATGAGAAGAAGCGCAAAATTAGAGAAGCTCTTCAAGGTTTTCATTCACGAGTTTCGTTTACTCTTTTTTTTAATTTTGATTTTTTTATAAAAAATTTTGTTTTGTTTTGCAGAAGGGAAGCCTATACCGACTGAGCTTAGAAACGAGGAGGCGGCACTTCGTCGGCAAATTGATCTGGAAGATGAAAACACAGCTGGTATTGTATTTCTATGTTCTTTCCCTTTTTTTTAGGGTTTAGGGTTTAATAGTCAATATTGTTTGGTTGCTGAGGGAATGAAGTTGAGTATGATTATGCTGTTTTAAATTGTTGCTGTGTGGTTGATTAGCTTAATCATTAGCTAGAACAATTTTGTCCATAAACGGTAGTGTAAGAGCGAGGTCTTGTAACTTAAGAGATTCAATTCTGCTTCCCTTGAAGGTAATTGTAAAAAATTACTGTTAGTGCCACTTTTATAACTTTCCAGTTAAGTTTCTACATAGTAGAACTTAATACAATCTGAGCCAATATGTACGTAGCTTCCCCGATGAAAAGCTATACATTATAGTTTGTAGTTTTATTTGAGTTTTATGAGTGAAAAACTGATAGATTCACTGTTATCAAATTTTGAAGTTATAATTATTTACTATGGACCTAAAATAAATTTGGAATGCTAGAAGGCTTTTCGAGCCTTTGAAAGTTTTATTTTTGTTACACCTTTTTCTTTTATAAATCTCTCACATCATATATCCTCTCACTTAATTGTGTCTTTTAATATGGGATTAAATGATGTGTTTTGTGAATTTTTGGGTTTTAATACTCTGAACTCTATTGAATTCAGTCCCAAGAACACACATTGATGATGAGTATGCATTTGCTACTGAGAAAGATCCTAAGATCATGCTGACCACATCCAGGGATCCAAGTGGTCCTCTTCAACAGTTTGTTAAGGTTTGTCTGTTTATATTGTATTGCTGGTTGTTTCAAATATTTTAGTTTAACTATACCTTTTTCCGATCGTTTGGGGCTATACCGACAACTTACTGAATATAGTTATCTTAAATTCTTTTGTGTAGGAGTTGAGTATCGTCTTTCCCAACGCTCAAAGAATGAACCGCGGTGGTCAGGTTGGAGCCTTTACCATTTTATCCCTCTGTATGTGTATGTAACATGGACACTTGATTCTTTTCTTTGGTGGTTTGTTCTCTTATAGCCCAAGAAAAAATTGTTTTAAAATAAAAAAAAGTTATTTGCAATTAGAGATAATATGATTAGTATCATAACTCGTGAGAATTATTGGGGGAAAATAGGATATATTAATTTATTTTCTAATGTGGCTGTAAGTTATTTGTTTTACTAATCTTGGAATAGTTGTTTGTCCGATATGGTCAAAATCTTATCTTTGCTTGTCAAACATTTTGTTGGTTTTAGCATCAAAATATACATACATCAAATGTAATATAATAACTTGTTAATGCTAGACACCTTTAACTAGTCAATTATAGTTGTACTAATACAGTAGTACTTAATGATCTTCATTTTCATTACAGGTTATTTCAGAGATTATAGATGCTTGCCGGTCCCATGACTATACAGATGTAATTTTGGTTCATGAACACCGTGGTGTGCCTGATGGTTTAACTGTTTGCCATCTACCATTTGGCCCTACTGCATATTTTAGTTTACTCAATGTGGTAAGTGTTGGTTTTAGTTTAACTACATATCTTTATATATATTTTAGGAGGCTATACGCTAATTTGTTGTTTCTTGCAGGTTACAAGGCATGAAATTAAAGACAAAAAAGCTGTTGGAACTATGCCTGAGGCTTATCCGCATGTTATTCTCAACAATTTCTCCACTAAGGTATTCTTCATAATTCAACATGAGCTTTATCATCGTTGTACATACTAAGTTTCATTGTAATGGTCTGTTCCTTTCATCTCTGATTCACCAGACCATTTCTGGTAAATGTTGGTCTTTCAGTATCATTGGTTCATATCTTATTCAAATATAATCTGGAAAGGTTGTGGTACAAAAGCTATTTTTTAAGTTTTCAAAACAAGTAGCATAGATGTAAAATTGTCCGATAAAGGTTTTATTGCGATGTCCGTATAAAATGGCTAAAACATTGTGAACATTTCATTTGGAGGAGGAATGGTTTTTCTAGGAATGCCTGAACCAGTTTTAGAAGTAGCTGCAAACGAGTCAATCATTCAACCCAGTTTCAGTTTTACAGGTTAATCAGGTCCAAATTACTACTAAGTTAATCACCCTACTAAGCGCCAAGAAGAACATAAATTAAGAGTTGCATACACATATGAGAGTGTCGTGTTGTATGAGTAGACTTGCATAATATATTAGGAGAACATATGAGTAGACTTGCATACCACATAGCAGCATCTATTGAGGAAAAGATGGTAATATCATGCCTATGATGGTTTGGCCAGATGAGAATATTACCTGGAAAACTAGAAGCCCCTAACAGTAAGAGTTCAATAGATAGAGAATACTCCAGTAGTTAAAGATAAAGGAAGTCTGAAGAAAACTCTAAATGAAACTTTTGAACTTGACTACAATATAAATTACCTCTCCAAGACTTGGTTAATGTTGTTGGATCCATATAACTGACCCTGTGGAAAAATGCTTCGTTGTTTTAGTCTTAAAGATTATAATGCTCAAAAGTTGGGAGTGAGATTCCAAGTTCCAACACAGATCTGAACTGAGAGGATTCACTTAAGCACTAGCACTTGTTATTAATATAACTGCATTTTTTTTGTATCCTTTGTACTCACCAGTATTTGAAATATCAGATGTTATAACTAATATTTGAGCTCAGTTCTATTTGGAAAAGAAAAGATGCTCTATCACTTTAGCACAGGTCAATCTGGAAAGGATAAGAAAAATAATCCTTTTTTTATTATTTTCAATCTAATTGGTATAAATTTTTTTAAAATTTAACCATAAAACAAATATAAAATTAAGGAGAAAACTTAGATACAATTCCATATGTGTGATTTTTACTATTTTCCAATGAAAATATGACAAGTGTATAATTTTCTCCTACACATATGCAATATTCTCCTTTTTTCATTCCCTAAATGATATTTAAGTACACTTGTCATAATTTCATTGGAAAATAGTAAAAACCAGACCATAGGAATTGTATTTAAGTTTTCTGCTAAAATTAATACATTGGTGCGAGTATTGTGAGTAAAAATCACATAAAAGAAAATTTTACACGGATTGTGTGATAAGACAAATAAATATGGCATAAAATATTTGAGTATATACATTCAAAGGTTATTTTAGTAAGCTGTTCGGTGATGAGTGTGACCTCCATCTCTATTTTCAACTATTCCCGTTCCCCCAGGTGAAACTGCTGACTGCTCATATAATTTCTTTTTGACTGTAAACAGTTTGGTGAAAGAGCTGCAAAAACATTCTAAAATATTTGACATAAACAATTACCTTCTTTAATAATAGTAACACTGCTTTTGTGCTCTGTGCTGACTGCTCATATACTTTCGTTAGGACTGTAAATAGTAAGGTGAAAGGACTGTATATTCAAAAATATTTTAAAACAAAATAATTACCATCTATAACAAAGTAACACTGGTTTTGTGTCAAGTGCTCATAAAATTTCTTTTGGGCTGTTAACAGTTAGGTGAAAGGACTGCCAATATTCTAAAACATCTGTTTCCTGAGCCAAAACCTGACACAAAGCGTATTGTCACTTTTGCCAACCAGTCGGACTATATCTTGTTTAGGTTGGTTACATTTATCTGTTTTTGAGCATTTAGCCTTCTTTACAGTTAGTTATTCAAGTTCTGTTAACTCTTACTTGTTGGGATTCATTTCCTTCTCATTTGAAATATTGTGTCTGCTGCATACAGGCATCATATATATGAAAAACGCGGGGGTCCTAACTCTGTAGAATTGAAGGAAATTGGTCCACGGTTTGATTTGCGACCATTTCAGGTTTGTGTTGTGATTAAGCTCACTATTGGTTGCTTTGTTCTAACTTTGTATTTGGTTATCTTTTATTTGACCATCATGTTGTTACTGTCTCCAATTTTATAATTGTTTACACGAACTTATTCGACAAGTGATCATCAATGCCATTGCTTGTCAGAGTGTAGTCTAATCCAATACGAGACTGTATACCGAAAACCTGTCCCTCATGTTTATGGAACCTTTTGCAGATAAAGTTGGGAACAGTAGATCAAATTGAAGCTCAAACAGAGTGGGTCCTCAGACCATACATGAACACCACCAAGAAACAGAAGTTTCTCGGTGACTGATGCATGCACCGGTGGTGGTGATGCAGATGCAGCCAAACCATGTTATACACTCTTCTGGGTATGCACTTCATTTAGACTTTAGAAGAAAAGCTGAAAATTTTGAAATGGAGATTATTTAACATCGTCACATTATTTGTACGAGATAAATGAAAATTGGAACGTGCATGTTGCTAAATTTTGGATGAAATTTAATTCTATGGATGTACTCTTTTACTCTTGTGTTAAACATACTAACTGCATGGAGTATCTATATATATTTTAATCTTTCACAGGTTATTTTATGTTTTTAATAAAGTTATTACAATCTTTTAATATACTTTTTTGTTTATGTCTCAAATAAGTTTTATTAATTTCTTAATATATATTTTAGGTAAAACTTATTATCGTTGAAAAAACAAGCTTGTACCAAAGTGTGTTATCACATTTTGTCCTATATACAGATAACACGGGCATTATATAGGGTCGTGGAAATGAATTTATTTATATGGAAAGTATCATTATATATATTAGGGTTTAATGGATATGCACTATTACACAAAGCCCATACATGATAATGATTGGTTGTCAGTGTGTATATCACCTTTTTTTTATATATATTAATATGTTTAACATTTTCAACAATATG